GCTCGCGTATGGCGCGTTCCACCTCCTCCTCCAGCTCGGGGAACTCCACGTACTTGGGCTCTTCCTCTTCTTCCTCCTCTTCGCTGCTCTCACTGTCGCTCTGCCATCCATTAAATGTTGTGAGTAAAGATGAAATGATGGGAGCTCACTCGATCTTTGCTGCATCCCAACAGCATCGATCCATGTAATATCGATCCATGTAATATCGATCCATGTAATATCGATCCATGTAATATCGGTTGTATATCAGTATAAAGAAATCTCGATGCAAGTAGTACCTCAGATTGAGTCCCAATCTCATGGATTTGTTTCAGCTTTGCGGCGGCAGCACGCCTTCGCTGCAGGGCCGGGTCGTCTTCGGCCCACTCGTCCACGCTGTAGTCGACCATCTCGCGTTTGCGCTCCTTGTAGGCTGAGCTGGGCAGGTAGATCGTGCCTTCGTCCTGCAGATACTCCACAAATTCATCGTGTAGCGGCACGACTCGACTCTTGAACGTGTGGCTGCTGTAGTTGGGGTACCAACTGGCGAACATGCAGTTGAGCACCTGCGTCTCCTTCAACTCATACTCGGCCCTCAATCGCTTCTCTTCATCTTCCGTCAGTTCCATCTTCCGGTGCTGATATAAATAAAATAAATGATATAATAAATGATATTGGCAAAAAAATAAAAATAAATAAAACAAAGCTTTGATTTAATTGATATTTAATTGATATTTTTTGTGCAAGAGATGGAAGCGCCACGAGAGGCAGAAGATGACCGAAGACGTAGGAAGGAGCTGCAGAGCATGTGGGAGTTTGCGAGCGTGGTCGCGTTCCTGGATTCCTTCGAAGGCGATCTCAAGCTGCACTCCTTCAATCTCTCGGTACCTCCCCCGTCCCTGTTCTCCTCATTTCCCTCCTCACTGGCCGGTGTGTGATTGAGCAATTTGATTTGTAGCAACTCCGCTCTTCTTCTCTTCATCTCCATCTCCATCTCCAACCCTCGCCACTACACTGACTCACTCGCACTACACTCCGGGCGCGCTGCCAGGGACTCGAGGGAGCACTGGTCGAGCTGGAGCGCGTGGCCGAGGAGCACAGGGTCCAGGCCAGCGCCCTCTCCGCTGCCGCTGCCGCTGCGGCTGCCGACCAAGAAGAGAAGAGCCGCAGCACGACCAACGGTGGCGACACACCACCATCGTCGTCGCCATCGTCATCTTCCGTAGCAGAAGCCGACAAGGTCGTCAAGAAGGAGAAGGAGAAGGAGAAGGAGAAGGAGCAAGAAGAGAAAGAAGAAGAGAAAGAAGAAGCGAAAGAAGAGGAAGTGGAAGGGAAGCAGAACGGTGACCACAGTGAGGCGAATGGTGGTCACGAAGAAGAAGAAGAAGGAGAAGGGGCGAAAGAGGAGCGAAAGAGGAAAAGGCAAGTGAAGAAGGAGAAAGAGGACGATGACGAAAGCGAAGAGGCGGGGGAGAAGGCGAAAGAAGAAGAAGAAGAAGGCGGAGATGATGACGACGACGATGACAAAGAACGCGACGACGACGACGACGAAAGGAACGCGAAGAGGAGGAGGAGGAAGAAGGCCAAGGCGACGGAGCCCTGGATGGAGAATGCCGGCTACCAGCACCTCGCCAACCTACACATCGCCCTGCTCAAGAACATCGTTGGTCGCGGCGCGTCCTTGCTGACGTAACTCCTCCACCGCACACACGCAACACGACACGCATACACCGCACACGCACACCGCACACGCACACTGCACACACACGACCGCACACACGACACACACTGACGGCTGGGCACCCGATGTAGGATGGAGCGATGGGAGGGCTATCTGCAGCGGGAGCTGGACAAGCACTGGGACGAGGCCATGGAGGCCTACTTCGGCCCCGACAATCCCCTCGAGAATTCCAACTATCTCGCCCTCTCCCTGCGAACCAAGGCACGTGTGTGTCGTGTGTTTGTCGTGTGCGTGTCGTGTGTGTGTCGTGTGTGTCGTGTGTGTCGTGTGTCGTGTGGGCGTGTGCGCTCACTAAACGCGCGTCGCGCAGGTGTTGCTCCTCAAGGTGGTGTGCGACCTCCAGTTGGATGCCAATGCGGCTCTGTTGGCCGAGATACACGAGATTGGGTCCAAGGGCGACCATGCGCAGCTGGTACTGCCTCCGACCCGACCCGTCCTCACTCATAATCTCACGCCGCACGCACACGCTGCACGCTGCACGCGCGACACACGACACGCACGGCGTGTGCGACACGACAGCGACCGACCGCGCTGGGGCGTGACGGGCGATCGCGGCTGTACTGGTACTTCAGCAGCGGGCGGCACCCGTACCTCTACCGCGAGACGCTGCCGCTGCTCGAAGACGACCGATACACGATCATCAGGCCCGGCAAGTGGAAACTGGTACGCGCCACTCGCCGCGAGTGCTGGCGGACAACACGGAATAACTAACGCGCGTGTCGTGTCGTGTCATGTGTCGTGCGTGTCGTGCTGTTCGTTTGTGCGTGTGTTGCGTAGGTGTGTTCGACGTTGGCCGAAATCGAGGCCTTCGCGGATGATCTGATCGACAACAAGAACAAACAAGCGCGCCGGCTGGCGACGACGATCATGCACGAGGTCGTACCACCGCTGTTCGCCCGGGAACTGGTAACCCACCTCCCTCCACTCTCTCCACTCCCCACTCCAAGCGCGTCTCATGCGTTGTGTCGCACAGGAAGAGGAAAAGGCGGCGAAGAAGAAAGCCCGGTCCCGCAAAGCTGGCATCGACACCAGGTAATGATTTACGCACACGCACACGACCGCACACGCACACGAGGTTTTTATTATTTTTATTTGTTAATTTCTTTTTATTGTAGAAATGTTGTGAATACCAGATCGAGGCGGGCCAGGAAGGCTGTGGACTACACCTACAACACGAAGGAGTTGGACAAGGCCATACGCGAATACAACCAACAACGCGACTCGGACTCGGATGAAGAAGACGACGGTGACAAGCAGCAAGACAAGACTTCGTCGTCCAAGCGGACCCGACGGACCCGTCGGGCGGCGCCCACAGCGGCGGTCCAGGGCACGCGCAGCTCGACCCGGATACAGCAAAAGCGAAAGCGCGGCGCAGCCGAATAGCGAAGCCGACGTCAGAGGAAGAGAAGCGCAATGAATTGAACAACAAAAGCAAAGATTGGGGGTGGGGGGGGGGCGAGTGGGGTGGCTTAGAGGCGGCCGGAGGAGGAGGCGTTGTTGAAGAGGAAGCCGTAGCGGGAGAAGACGAAGGCGATGACGGGCACGGCCAGGAGGGCGATCACGACCCACCTGGGGATCTTGAGGTCGCCGCCCAGCAGCTTGAGCCACTTGAGCTTGCTCTCCGTGTACGGCGGGTACCGCAGCGACGGATCCGACCACACGGCCCTGCGCAGCAGCAGCAGCACAACGTGAGCATCATCGAGATGGTGTATGCGTGTGCGTGTGCGTGTGCGTGTGCGTGTGCGTGTGCGTGTGCGCGTGCGCGTGCGCGTGCGGTGTGCGGTGTGTCACAGACCTCTTGAGGACGCTCTTGCGGTGGGTGAAGGTGTCGAAGGTGTGCTTGCCGTTGTAGGCGCCCATGCCGCTCTCGCCCACGCCGCCGAAGGGCAGCTCGGGGCACACCACCTGCAGGATCGCGTCGTTGATCGCCACACCGCCTGTCCACCACCCCTTTATCAGCCACTATGCGTGTCGTGTCGTGTCGTGTCGTGTCGTGTCGTGTCGTGTCGTGTCGTGTCGTGTCGTGTCGTGTCGTGTCGTGTCGTGTCGTGTCGTGTCGTGTCGTGTCGTGTCGTGTCGTGTCGTGTCGTGTCGTGTCGTGTCGTGTCGTGTCGTGTCGTGTCGTGTCGTGTCGTGTCGTGTCGTGTGTCGTACCGGAGAAGGTGTTCTTGAGGACCTTGTCCTGGGTGGCGCTGCTGTTCGAGAAGATGTAGAGGGCGAGCGGCTTGGGCCTGTCGTTGATGAAGTCGATGGCCTGCTCGACCGAGTCGACCGGCACGATGGGCAGCACCGGGCCGAAGATCTCCTCCTGCATCACCTTGGCGTTGGTGTCGACGTTGGTCAGGATCGTGGGCGCGATGTAGCGGTCCTCGACGTCCACCTCGCCGCCCACGAACACGTCGTGGCCTTCGATCAGCGCCGCGACGCGCTGGGTGTGTCGCTCGTTGATGATGCGCGAGTAGTCCGCCGTGGCCTTCGGGTTGTTGCCGTAGAACTCCTTCAGCGTCGCCGCCATCTTCTCCAGCAGCGGCTTCTCCATGTCTGTAAGCAAACAATGGCACACCACGACACACACACACCACCACACCACGCACACGATCAGTTCACGCCCATCATCTGGCCAGCCCGTCCCAGCCTAATGCACGCACCCTTGGTGACCAAAATGTAGTCCGGCGCGACGCAAGTCTGACCAGCATTGACCGTGAACTTGGCCCTGTATGTTTGTGCGTGTGCGGCGGTGTGTGCGTGTGCGTGTGTGTGTTCAGCAACATGGCTTGGTTAACTGAGAAAGAAGAGAGAACGCACCAGCAGAGCCGCCTGGCGGCGACGTCGAGGTTGACATGGGAGTCGAGGATGACGGGCGACTTGCCGCCCAGCTCGAGGGTGACCGGGGTCAGGTTGGCCGAGGCGGCCTTCATGACCTCGCGGCCCACCTTGCCGTTGCCCGTGTAGAAGATGTAGTCCCAGGCCTCCTTCAACAGGGCCTGCGTCTCCTCGACTGCACCCTCCACCACCACCACCGCCTCCTGATCCAGGTACCTGTCCACCCCCACTCCCATCAGCTATGTGTGTCGTGTGTGTCGTGTCGTGTCGTGTCGTGTCGTGTCGTGTCGTGTCGTGTCGTGTCGTGTGCGTGGTCGTAGATGTACCGGGGGATGAGGTCAAAGAGGACGCGCGAGCAGTTGACGCTGACCTCGGAGGGCTTCAGGCATGCGACGTTACCGGCGGAGATGGCGCCCACCAACGGCTTGAGGAGCAGCGAGATCGGGTAGTTCCACTGTGACGACAGCGCCATCGCCGCACGTTAGTGTGCGGTGGTGTGTGCGTGTGTGCGTGTGCGGTGGCCAAGAGAAAGGAGGAGAGGGGGTACGGGGGAGATGATGAGGACGAGGCCGTAGGGCTCTTTGACGATGAAGCCCGAGCCGGGCTTGTGCATGAGGGGCACCGACTTCTCCTCGGGCTTGGACCACTCGGGCAGGTTCTTGATGGCCGCGGTCGCCTCCTTGATCGAGCTGTCCACCTCCGAGCCAGCAATCAAATCGGTCGAGCGCAGGTCGGCCTTGAGTGCCGCGATAATCTAATGATGAAAAAAGAGATGCAAATCAATGGGAGGCAGATGATCCCACCAAGGATTGTCATCGTGGTTGATGCGAAGAGGCAGCAGGGGTGGCACACAAAAGATGTACCTGGTTCTCGTTCTCCTTGAGCAACTTGATCAGCTGGCGCAGCTGCTGCAGACGCCACTCGAGGTTGAGCGTCTTGCCGCTCTTCCATGTCTTGCGCAGACCCGCCACGAGCCCAGGAATCGAATCAACAGCAGTGTAACGTCCTTCCATTATGCCTCCTTCCTTCATCAATTCGCAATTTCCAAGATGGAGTCAAATTATGCAGGTGCACCAAGACGACTGCTGCGGCTTTGAACCAGAGAGTAGTATGCGAAGGCGAGGACAGCGTACCTTGATGTCAGTTGGTGCTGCTACTCAAGATTGAAAGAGAACAAACAAATCCAGCGTTGGCTCTTCTTCTGTTCCCACCAAGCCAAACCTCCCCGTTGGCTCGGCGCAAGTTATCGGACATCAACTGCGCCAAAAGGGGCGATTGGGTCTCTTCTGCCGTTCTCTCGGCGAGACTGACCGGCGGTCAAAAAGACGTGACTCCAAGTGGCCTTCTCGCGAACTGGCGCCAATCTCCAGTTTGTGTTGTGTTGTTGTGTTGGTGTTGTGTTGTGTTGTGTTGTGTTGGTATTGTGTTGTGTTGGCTGCGTGGTGTCATCGGGCGTAGAACTTGCAGAGTTTGCGGAGGGCGGTCATGGGGCCGTTGGAAAAGGTCTCGATGGCGTGCTTGAGGGTGTCGCGGTTGATGACGCCCACCAGGCTGCCGTTGCTCGTCACGTAGCCCTCCGTGAGCCGGAACGTGATGAACAGCATGTGGATCTGTGCGCCGCGGATTGAGTCAGGTGTGCGGTGTGCGGTCATGTGCGGCGTGTGCGGTCATGTGTGCGGTGCGCGGTACCTCGGTAAGGGGCAGGATGTCCACGATTTGGATGGGCAGCGGGGTGTGCGGGATGGCGGGCAGGGACTTGCGCTCTTCCGGCGTGAGGCCCGCGTCTGGACGGAGGCGCCGGCGCGATCGGCGGACACCACACGGTCAGCTCTAGCAACACACGCACGCACGCATGCACGCACACACACGAGCTCCACGGAAGGGGAAGAAGTAGACGGTACCATCTTCCTCGAAGAGTTTGAATTTGCTGAGGAGCTCTGCTTCCGTGAGTGTGATCACCTGTTCCGTGGTGCTCCTTCTCCCACTCTTCGTCCCCGTGCCTGAAGTCAACCAATCACACTGTCAACACACGCACACAAGCAACCACCGCACGCACGCACGCACAACACCACCACACGCGAGCACGACGGGATAGACATACTTCGCCTCCGTTGGTCGAAGGTGCCGTAGGGCTTGCTTCCGATATTCGAGCCTCTGCGGCCCAGTTGGCCCTTGCGCGCCTGGCGTATGTCGTCCCACGCCGAGAACGGCGCCATGGAGGCCGCCAAACCGCGCCCCGCGCGCCGGGTCACCGCGGCGTTTTCGTCGTCGACGTCCTGCGACTCGTTGAGCGCATTGACGACGATCTGGAAGCACTGCAGCAGGTAGTTCGTGAGCTCGCGCCTCTCCACGTAGCCCTTCAGCGTCATCACCTCTGCAACACACAAACACACACACACACACACACACACAACACGAATTAATAAACGCTTGTTAGCTCCATTAATGTCACAAGCTGCCTGACGACGGAGAGTAGGTAGGCCTTACCCTTGCTGTTGACGACGGGGAAGACGTTGGCGTCCTTGTTCTTGGAGAGCAGCGACGCCACCTCCTTGGGTGTGGCGTGCTGCAGCACGAACGGCACGTTGGTCTCCATGATCTCTCCCGCCGTCACCTCGTAGACGCTGCAAAGTGTGCGTGTGCGTGCCGTGTGCGCGTGCCGTGTCAATACAATCGAAAATATTTCGCTCAAACAGACAAAGTCGCGGTGGTGGTGGCGGCCACACGTACCTGGCGTCGAGGTCGGGCAGGAAGGGCAGATTACGGAGAATGGCGATCTTGTCGTAGTAGTTGACTGACAGCATACGAGAAACGGCCACGGAAATGCTCACAGCCACCTGTGGGGCGGCGGTGGTGCGCGTCAGCTCGAACGAAACCGGCCTTGAGGGCGAGTGACGCGTACCATGATGGGCGCGACCAGGTTGAGCTGGCCGGACATCTCCAGCACGATGACGGCCGTGGACAGCGTGTGGGTGACCCCGGCGCTGAATGCGGCCGCGCCGGTGATGGCGTAGGTGGCAGGGATGATCGTGTAGGAGAGATCCTGGTCGAAGTAGGCCAATCCGGCCGGGAACATGTCGTGCAGGTACTCGCCCACCGCTCGGCCCATGCCCATGCCCATCACCAGGCAGGGCCCGAACACGCCGCAGGAAATGGGCATCGTCGCCGCCAGCACAGTACCCGAGAACTGCCCACGTACAGTGAGAAAGCCCAACGTTAGGCTCACGTTGGCAGAGAGTTGGAGGAAGGGGGGCGCGACGTACGCGTGAGAAGACGAAGAGGGCCAACGAAACGTAGAACGGAAGGGCTAGCCAGTCCGTGGCGTGCTCGCCAAGGTCATTGAGCGGACCCACGTGTGACAGGTCCTTCATGGCGTCGTTGGTACCCAACTGTTGGTACAGCACTGTGTGAGTAGTCGCTTTGCCTGTTTTAAACGGCCCGCGGTTCAGAGGTTGGTGCGTCGTACCGACAAGAAGCGGAAGTTGCCGGGGAACGTCAACAGCGCCGTGTAGAGTGCCACAAACACACCATAGGTGTATGGACTACCAGCACCACACATCAGCAGGCGTTAACGATCAAATAGCAACAGAGCAAGAAACACACACGACACACGACACACGACACACAGCAAATGCACGTACTGGGAGATGTAGAAGAGGACACGCTTCCACGTGGAGCCCTTGCCGTCGTCGGCCTGGGCGACCAGCCATCGGCGCCCAATGATAACGTTTCCGAAAACCCAGACGAATATGGCGCCCAGTACACCGCCGATCACGCCTGCGCCGATGGGCGACAACTCAACTCAGCGCAAGTCCCATGCCACAGAGGGGCGGGGCGGGGGTGGTGTGGCGGTACCGAGGAGGGCGTGGAAGCCGAGCTCGGCCCAGACCCAGGACTCGCGGGGCAGTTCGGTGGAGAGGACGTAGGGGCTGCCGGTGAGGAATCGATTGGCGATCGAGGCCACCACGGCGCAGTAGAACGAGTAGAAGTAGTTGCGCACGGGGAAGTAGGTCGATGTGACCTCAATGCTGAACAGCACTCCTGGACTCGCGGCGAAGACACCAATTAGTTGGTGCTTGCGCAGTGTGTCGTGTCGTGTCGTGTCGTGTCGTGTCGTGTCGTGTCGTGTCGTGTCGTGTCGTGTCGTGTCGTGTCGTGTCGTGTCGTGTGTGAGCTCGAGGGTACCTCCGATGGGCACGTTCACATCAGCCGCAATGCCCATGCCGCAACCCACAGCCAACATCACTTTGTGCATCGTTTTGCTCTGCACAAGGAAAAAGTGTCGGGCGGATGATATGATGAGAATTGTGTACAAATGATCGGTGGTAAACCGAGTTCATGTAGCGTGCCTGGTTGATGAGAGTGAAGAGCGGTAGTTGGCACAGAAAGTGTGCCACGAGCGCACACAAGTGAATGAACGGCCCGCCCTTACTGAGAATCAAACCTACAAGCGACACACCAACAGTTATCAGCATGAGCAGTCACGAGAAGAACAAAGAACAAAGAACAAAAAGAACGAAGAACGAGCGCGGGAGGAAAAATACCGCCAGCGGCTGCAGCCGTCATGCTGCCAAGCTTGGCCAAGAAGATGCTGGGCGCGAGGAAATTGTTGAGCTGCACGCCGGAGAGAATGCTCTTCAGCTCGGGCACGCCGCTGCCCTGCGCCGCGGGGTTGATCCTGATGAACGCCATCGACGCGCCGGCGAACACAAGCAGATACAGGGTCCATAGCCCGTACTGCGCATAGTAGTCGGCCACGAGGTTTTCGCCAACATAGTAGTGCGCTGCGGTACAGATAACATTGAATAATAAGTGCACGACAACGAACAGCAAACTATGCATGGAGGGATGGATGATGGTGGTACCGGCGCGCCCCAGGTCGACGACAAGATCGAGCATGCCGCCTAGCAGCCCGCAGAGCAGGCCCAGGAGAGGAAGAAAGAGCCACAGGAAGCGGTGCTGGTTGGCCAGCATCAGCCAACAGTCGCTCAACTGGCTGTACACTTTCTGCGACCACTTGGGCAGCTTCTTGCTGCGTCGTGCCAGAGCCCAGGTCAGTACACACACTATGCCTATGGCACAAGACGGTTGTGTGTGTGTGTGTGTGTGTGCGTGTGTGTGTGTGTGTGTGTGTGTGTGTAAACGTACACGACAGGCGATCGCGGAGAGATTCCCATTCCCGAGCCAAAGGAAGATGTGGTGCTCTGGCGGAGTGTTTGGGAGCGCGGCCGCGTGATGCGGCGCTGCTTGTAGCGACCGTAGGGCTTGCCGGCCTTGAAGTCGAACTCCACGGCCTCCGTGCTGATGGTGAAGATGGGCGGCAATCTGCGCCGCATCTCGGCCAGCGTGGTCGTGTCGTGGAGCCCTCCCGCCCCTGGTGTGACGTACAAACATGAGCAATGCACATACGCTGGCACACGACACGACACGACACGACACGACACGACACGACACGACACGACACGACACGACACGACACGACACGACACGACCAACAACACGACCAACAACACGACCAATGACACGCGGGTACATGCCTGGCGAAAAGGACACTCTGGAGCCGTAGAGGTCGTCGCCGGCGATGTTGAGCGAAGTGCGCATGTGCGCGCCAGACATGCGAGGCGAGGCGGGAATCGAGGATCCGGACGCATACGGCGAGAACTCGGAAAAGGAGGACGACGTCGACGCATCGCTGTCTTCGCTGTCGCTGGCCTTAGCCTTGCTCATCGCCGACGACCCCTTGCGCTTGGTGCGCATGAGCAGCGGCAGTCGCTCGTCGATGGAGGGCAGCAGGCGCGCGGCTGCGGCAGCGCTCATGGGTGTGCGCAGCTGCGACTGAGACCTGCGCAGGCCTGCATCGGGGCCGCCGCCCTGGGTGCCCTGCTCGACGTCGGTGTCGGCGTCGCTGTAGAGGTCGGTCAGGTGCCCGTCGTGCTCGGCGTAGAGATCATCGTCATCGTCGGAAGAGTGGTCCGATCGCAGCTTGAACTTGACCTCGCCCGTGGCCCGCAAG